GGTTTCCATAACGGTATTCAAACTTAGACATTGAATATTCATGCTGTTTAACAATTTCTAATACATAGCGGGGATACAGTCGATATATATTCCCAGTCAAACTTTGGCCCATCTAGCTGTATGTGGTGTTGTGACGTTAATATATGCAAATATGGTTTAAGTAGTTTGGTGGTAAGCCTGCTATTTTCACTATAAGGATATGGAGTTTCATAAGAAAAAATAAGCCGCTGAGGCCTTTTTCCAAAGCGGCGAAATTCCTAGAGAGCCAACGTTGGTTACGCGTCAACAAATAGCGGCATTTGCAGATACCTTCCGCCCACAATTTCACGGCAAATCTCATATACATTTGGTGAAAGAAGAAGATTTATCTCAACGATATCAATTTGATCGCAGTGCAAACTATTTATACTTGCACCCTAGAATATAGCTAATCTGCCCTCCCGTGTTTTTGTACTACCAGCATCTAATCGTTCAAAAGTTAATCAACAAGTCCAAATTGCCGTCAGCCTACAAACTTTATTGGTTACTAGCCACGATTTTGTGATCTTATATGTTAAATATTGCGCGTCCTGCATCTATAGAATGAAAGGGGTTGTGAATTAGTATTCATTTATCTCGAGTGCATAGGGCTCATTATGATGTGACTTTATTAACTAGGCAATTATCACGACAACATTTTGCAACCTCATCCAAATTTAAACGATTGAATCGTGTTTCTAGAATGCTGAATATAAACTCATAATGGTGGAAGATAGACACGCAGTGGAACAGCGATTCGTACCGTCGCGGATCGTACTCTGATTTTTCCAGTTACTCAACCACTGCTGATGATGAAGCAAGTAAAATTCATCAGCGTGGTCACCAATATACCATCTCAAATTTTTCCGATATGAAATTAAATGTCTGTGCTGCAAGTATCTCGATGTTTGCGAAATACATTCCAAAAGATTCAAGCGCATCTAAATTTCTGTGCCCAGATTTGCGTAGCAGGTAACTCCGACCGCCTAGCTAGTATTAATCTGTGAGAACACATGCAACGAAACTATGAATACTTGTCGCAAAATCATTAGAAGACACACCATAAACATTAGCCGCACGCATATAAATATTAACAAGTGAGGTTTGTTTCTCGAAACCATTGGATGTGGTGTTGCCTTACACAAACACTTCATGAAGATTGAGTCATTTCACGGAGTCGACAGAAGAGTGATCGAAACGGCATTTCAGCAATACAACGTAGGGCAGAGATGCTGGGATTAGAGCGAAAGGGCGTCAGTGTATAACGCGGTATACTACTCTGCATACATTCACACAAATCAAATTAACAATTAATTTTACTTCGTAAATTCGAGAACCCAGGAAACAATTGTATTCACTCCATCATTGCAAGAGTAATAAAACAAACAGCAGGGTCGAAAAATTAATTGCACAGTTAATTGGACAAAAATACATAGCTTATGTGGGTGCCAGTGTTGGATAACGAAAAATTGTCAGTATTTCAACAGCTTTCAGGCTTGTTTTAAGCGTGTGATCAATGGGAGCTGACCTAAACGTATTCCATTTTTGCTGACTAAGTAGCTAGCTTAACTAACGACCGCATCATCTTAGGATTGCACAAGGTTATGCCGTAATGCATTTGTTGCATAACAGGGGCAGTGATCAAATAGAGCAGGCAAAATCACCGCATCACTTACCATATCTTTTGTGCCGCTCAATATATTTGGCTAAAACCAAAGTAAATTTCAACAAATGCTCAGAAATTAGTCGGCTTGATGCAAAAGCAACGAGTTAAGCGTTCCGTGTGTTTTGGATGCACGCAACGATAGAATTAGCGGGGGAGGCAGTGTGCTCCTGTATTATCGATCCGACAGGCACGTTGATATCACTGAGGACACCGCAACGCAAGTGGTTGCTGCTCTTTGGTGTCGTATGCACCTAAGTAGTGATGTGTGGTTTTTAGCCTAAGTTTACCGCCATCCAACGACCACTTTACAAATGGATCAATGCCTCGATTGCGCGAGGAACCGAGTCCTGACACGAGCACACAGACCTCCATTTTGTGTAGGAATTCAACCTTCACACAATTGAAATCCCTGCATTGCAGACAAACAAATTGGGGCATACTTGTCGATGTACCACTGCACCACTATGTTATCTCTCCCACTCCATTACAGACGTGTGACACACCTTCTGTTTTGAACCTTGTGCTCACCAATGTGAAAATAATGGCGCACCCTGGGACCATAGATGCACTACTTTGCCGTAGCATTCTCGCAAGGTTGCTCTTTCGTTATATCTTCTAATCAGAGTACATCGATGAGAACAACGTGGAAACGTATTTCGTTATCCGTTACAATATATCGCCTAACCTCGTTCAAGAAACCGACTTTTCCTTCTTGGCCAAACAGCCGCCTGATGACGCTTGGATGATGTTAGTCATCCAATTTACCGAACTAGTGACAAATGCGTCAGAATAAAATGTCGTTCGCCCGAATCAAGTGAACTGGTCCCTGAAGAGCCGTACTATAAAATGCATTGGCTTAAAGTATTCAGCCTGGAGCGCACAAAATCTGTCCAAATAACCTGACAAAACCAATGTGTCATGTTAATCCGAGAAGACAAACGCAACCACCAACAGAACTAAGCGGGGAAATTCAGTACAAATCCCAATTTGCTCAACAGGCACGTCAACAAGCTCCGCAGATTGCAGCGTGGAAACCCAGTTTTACGTGTGACTGATGGTCTGGCGCACACTACACAATATGCGGCCAACCTGCTCGTCAACACTTCATTCACACATCCCACCGTGAATAATCATTGTACCCGCTTTCGATGCAGCTCCCATTGCCACAAGGATAAAACCGCGCATATTTACAGCAGCCAATTTGATTCAAATGCCAGAATTACGCGTGCACAGCTCACCTGACGTGGACGACATCAAACCAAAGGTATTGAAGACAGCAACCATGAACCTCGTCGAACCATTAACTCGGCTTTTCAACGGTGTCTCGAGGAAATGCAGATTACCACAATGTGAAAACATAGACAAATCACTCCAATTTACAAAAGTGGTAACCATGCGGAGCTTTCGAACTAACAACCAACCACTCTCCTCCCAGTTTTATCCATACTAATGGAAGGTATTTGCACAGAGGATCTGATGGGACACCTTGAGAGCAACGACATATTAGTGTCAAAGCAGCATGGATTCCGCCGAAAGCGGTCTTGCACTACAAACCTGCTTCTGGGCAGAGTCAGCCGATGCTAGAGTGAGAGTCGACGTCGTCTACCTGGACTTCTCGAAAGTGCTCGATAGTTTGGACCACCGCATTCTCTAGCACAAGCTTGGAAGCTAAGGATTCGGTGACCTTGTGTTCGGTTGAATCGGCAATTTCCCCACTCAATGTCCGCTGAATGTGAGAGCCCGCTGCTCAATTTCCGATCACCTTGACATCCCGTGTGAAGTGCCTCAAGGATCGGTACTGGAACCACGTTTATTCCTAGTATTCATTGACGATCTTGCTAGTGAAATTCAGTCGAAGCTTTTACCTTTTTCAGATAATGTCAAAAGTCGGCATGATATCAGGAAACTTGATGATCACGTCATTGCACAGCGATCTCGACAGGGCTTATGCGTGATCATCCGACAACCTGCTCCCGTTCAAAGTGGCGTAGTGCAATGTCGTGGGCATACGCTGTCAGTTTATCTAAAGATATCGACTTCGATACCAGTAGTTACATCGAGCTTCCCAGGAAAACCACCTCGGGTTGATGGTGCAGGACAGGATTTCCGTCACGCATACAAGCTCCAAAAGATACTCGGCCATATATGTCACGAATTTAGGAGACGGTATTAGAGCAAGCTCACATAGCATGCGTCTGTTTATCGATCCAGCAACGCAACAATCGGAAAGCGGAACCCGTGGAACGAACGTCTATACAACACGAACAAGCAAGTTAGAAACCGAAAGCACGATGAGAGGAGAACCACAATTGTTCATGTGATCTCCGAGCATTCCCTAAGGAAACAAAGGATTGAGAGCAATAACTGTATGTCCGTGCGGCTTTAACTAGAGGATGCCATTAAAAATCATCTTATTGTCAGGCAAAAGAAATTGTGTGGCCCATTTGCTGAATTTTAAGGCAGCAGTCTGAGTCAGCGGTAAGCATTTCCACAGAACTGGATTGAGTCGCTATTCAGGGGGCGAACAGAAATTCGGCTAAATGCAGCAGTGGAACGTACACATGTTGCCGGTTAATCAATGGAGGCGACACCCTCAGCAATGTGTTCACTGTTGAATACAACACAGCGAATGGGATAATAACCGTCGGGATGGGTATTGCAGTATATATGTGTCCATCAGAGTCTTCATGAACAGGAGAGCTTGGCGTCGCAATATATCCAAAATACATATCGAAAGCCGAAGAAACCCCAATAAAACGAGCATAATCTCACGTGAATTCGAGCGGCTAGTTAAAATAATTTCTGTCCACAATTCCCACATTGCAATTAAAGTAAACGGGATTTTCGATTAAATATCCTAGGCATCTTATTTGCCATCGCTATCACCCAAGGATTAGGTCACTCACGCGTAGGGGTGAAAACTTGAGTTCGCATTCGGAAGTTGCGCGCTAGGTATGAAACAGTCGTTCAGTGTTTTTCCATGTGTGTAGTTGATGGCTTCCTAATCATCCGACAAAACCGCTTCTACTACGTTCGAGGAAATTCTACCAATCTTGGAGCAGACATTGCAGCACTGGGGAAAATTATTTGTACAGATTGCATGTTGACTCGTGAGATCAGACTGAGCTACTTACGAGACAAGCTACGTTGTCTAATACCAAATGAGCCAAGTACCTTATAGACTCCTTTCGGAGGGCACGTTTTGTGAATGAAACACTGACAGAGATAACAAGACGAAAATGGTGGGTGGAAATTGTGATATACATTGAAAGGCACATACGCAAATTAAAACCCCATGTGTAAATTGTGAACTCACCAGAACTGTGAGAAGCCAAAGTAGCGCACACCGCGAGGACAATGCAGAGAGTACTTGTGAACATTTTGATCCTTCCAATGAAATAATTGGCACCCATGAAGGTGGTATTTATACCGCAGCTTGAAGCACAGCATATGTTGCGAATCGCAAAAAAGTCGAAATTAGCCAGTGAGCTGAAAATGGACGAATCGCTACAGCAGCTGCGTTCCTGAGCTGGTAGTCAGTTCTTACAAACACTGTTTGTGTAGCAAAGTGCCACTCGAGGAAAAAAGCACTTGTTTCATTTGGTTAACCAAGACAGACCCGTGGTGAATTGGCACAGTAGTTTTTTCATGCTCAGAGAAACTTGATGCTGTTAAACGATGCCATTGATGACATCAAAATGGTCCCACACATTATGGGGATCCAGTCGTTAGTAATGGTCGAGGAATTGTAGCATGGGAAGCAGATATCATCCCTACAAGGATACCGCGTGTTTTTCCCGTGTACAGCACAGTTCGTCGCGTTGTTAAGATGCATTCTACTGTGAAGCAATTGCCGCCATTGACGGTACCAGCAGATTCGAATATTCGCAGATACTTTCGTCATCAGTCTCTCGAAATAATTTCTAGTAATGCGTGTTCCCTTCGATTTCCTTTCTCTTAAGTTTTTTCCACCTAATAGTATGTGGCGTATCTATTTGACGTGGCTGTCTTCCTTTATCTTTATTCAAGTAGTAATAAAGTTATATTAACAGAGCAAGATTATGGTGTACATTTTGATTTAACCGCGCTGTGTAATGATGAACCAGAAGAAACGTATGTAGGTGAGATCCACACAGATCCTGCGACTTTCTTACGGTTCGCAGAGAAGCTGTGTGCCAGTTTTGGACTGGAGCGGATGGCCCAGTTCGAAAATGAATGCACCAATCTGATGAAGCACTTAGTTTGATTACTTACACGTTTTAATTTTTGATGTCCAAAGTTCGGATTTGGCAAATACTTTGTGCTTATGATAGTGTGTAGCTGGTGCGCTGTGAGTAGAATGCAATGATCAAGCTTCAGAATACTATTTGGAATTCTATTAGCTGGTTCCGGTTGTCAAAATTGCATAACGCGAAATAATGAGCAGATTATGTTACTTGAGTCAGCTTGGAATGGTTTCCAGCTTATTGAACATTCCGAAAAATTGAGATGCTAATAATGCACCAGCGTTTCAACTAAGGCCTTTCAATTGTCCTTTGCAGTTGGGGATTCATTTTTCTACTAGTTAATACGAAATCGTCACATACGTAGGAATCGTTATGCAATTTGTTTACCTTGCTAAATCTTGATGACTTCAAGATCCTATTCTGCCGATATTTGAAGATTATTCGCGACAAAGCATTTGCTCGCAGAGTGTAGAATATTCTCAAGAAGTCGGTCACAACATTAGATGAATTATGCATACGCATTCTAGAAGAAGGAGGATGCACGTTGCTGATTTATGGATCAGTCTAAGACATCGTTTAGTAAATCGGATTTAGTTACCAACCATCCTTTCCACAAATCTTCGATCATTACGAGGAAATCCGCGTGTATTACCGCAAACTTGCATTGCTGTGGTTAATAAAATGCCGCCATTTTCATGTTACAGGGAAGTTGATTGCCTTCTCATATGGAAGGCGAAACTATTCAACTACCTATCTATCGTTTTATCAAGTCTCATCGAAAAGGATTTCCCCGGAATCGTGAAGGCAGTGCAAATAGTGAAATCAACTAACCCCGAAGCAAATCGGCAGTCTTACTGTTTACGTACAAAATAAGCCATTTTAGCTGTCGTATGACTGAATGTAAGACACGGTTCCTAAGCGGTTTTAGTTCTGTTTTCGTCGGAAACGGATACTTATCGCTTAAATCACCAGCGTCCGAAGTGAATAAAGTTGTTATTGTGTTACTCCCGGTGCTACTACGGAAACTCCAAGACTCAGTCTGTGTGATTGCTGAAGATCAGAAGAAATGTGATACCAATTTTATTGAGGCAGTTGATCTGGTGAACATAGTGAATTTTTCAACTGGCAATGAAGAAAAATTAGATATTGTCTCCACAAACATGTTTCGAATTTTTTCCAGCCTAAAAACGGTTACAATATGCAACTCTAAACATTGCATCACAAATGTATATTTTTATTAATTACAATAAGACAAACTCTTCCTTTGGCTCATATACCATTCAAAACTATCAGACGACGAGAATTTTACTTGTCCAATATCACGATACTTCAAACAACGTTGTCTTTTTCTAATCGTACTATTCTCAACAACGAAAATTTGTCCGTTTACTGTGAGCATCTTTGTGACTACAAACAAATGTGGCTTATGCCTTGGCTGCCCAATCGATAGCATTTATTTAAGGGAGGCGCGGTTATTCTCCTCAGTATTCAAACAACTAAGACGAAATAAAGCTTGTGTATAGAAATGAATACTGTCTGATAATGTTAGAATACTTACTTCAGCAAGCAAACCTGAGATGAAATGTCTGAATGTACTGTTCATTAATGCCATTTTGTCCACCAACAATTGCTATGAATTGTGACAACTTTTGAGACAAATGTGTGGTAAAAGCTTTTGTAAATAGCTAGGGTTTGTAAACATCGATAAACTAAACTCTGAACTCTGACCTACCCCAAAAATTGCCTGTTCTCTACCTTTATTGCTTGTCATAACTCTCAACAACTAGTCCAACATTTGCATTCCAACGCCTCGTGATCTATCAAGAACTCAAGGTGCTGAATGTGAGGAAGGCCGGATGAACTGATGCTCTGTCACCAATTATTTTAAAGAAGTGCGCCGACTCCCTCACCTTGACTTTAACAAATCTATTGATTTGTCGCTTACACAGTGGCACCGTTCCCGAGATTTGTAGACCGATCAAGATAACATCAGTCCCAAAGAGAGTAACTCAGCAATTTCGTCTCATTCATGTGTCCCAGTCAACTTTAAAGCCTTAGAGCGACTGCGTATTACTTTGATTTCTACAAGCTCCCCAGCTACTGATGCCTATCCTTGTTCGTATTATCATAAATGCTCCAGTTTGAATGCGGCAGACTATCTCGTTCGTTTAATAACATCTGCAGTAGAAGTTAAATGTAAGGCACTACGTCTGTTTTTCTTGGATAATTTAAACGCTTTTGGGAGTTTCGTAAGACCACCGGTTGTCAAACGTTTATTCGCGAACGGCTTCCAGGCTGCCTTGTGCAATCTAATTGGAACTGGTTTTTCAAACTGTTGGCATTTTACCCAACTGAACGGGAAAACATCATCTACTATTGTTAATGACTAGGGTTATTTAAAGCCAGCATGCCACTCTCCAATTTTTCTTTTGCACATGCAGAGACTTCTTACTGCGTCACGTTTTATTGGATGTAAATGCTCCAGCGAGATCGTTTTAGGCGATGACATCCCTAAGAACGAGTCGTCCTCGCCGCTTTAAAAAGGTTGGAAGAGCTTGAACGGTGTGCATCTTTTCGTTCTATTGCTCGCAATCCTTCACATTGCTATAGTTTAACCTTTTCTTCAATCTGACGAACGCCAATTTTTCCCCAGCGCTTTAAGCTCCATTACTGAGAACGAATGCGGTATATCTAATTCACTCATTGTAATGTATCTTGGCGCATTTTTCTTCCAATACTAAATTTGTTCTGCACGCATCGACGAAATGTTCGCAAGGTAAGGATACTATTACTTTATGCACTCTGGTTCAAGATATATTCAGTACCACACTATTTAATCTACAAATTCATTGCTACATGTATTCTCCCTCATTGGTTCTAATGCTTGCATGTACTTTTCGTTGGTCTTCCACAAACTAACTTTACGATTATTGTCCGTTCGATTAAGCTCATCTCAAATTCAGTGGGATACTCCGAGTGTCGTTTGTTGGCTACATTGTTCCCAAGCCTTTTAAGATAATTCACAGATTTGCTTCACATATTTTAAAGGATCCTTATTACCCAATCAACGGTCAGTTATCAAACAGACATTCCTTCTCATCTACACGCTCAAAATGTAAGGTTCTCTATTCTTGCACCGCTTCTTATCCTAACTCTGCTTTGCTTTATTTTTCCCGTCTTTTATTTAAATTCACGACGAGTAGATGTATGTAAATTTTGATTTGCACCATTTGCCTCTCATTTTAAGTAAAAATTTTGAAGCTGACTTTTATTTTCCGCAGTAACAGTGTAAAAATTGATGAAAATGTGCCGTCTGGTTTATAAAGCTTATTATAATGCTGTGGTATTACTAACGAGTGGATGACCAATTGCGCATTTACTCATTCGATTCTCCTACTAGGTTGAGTTACTGCGGAGGCATTGGCTATAAAATATTTCAGACTCTCATGGCCTTAATTACGTAGGTGTCAACCACCGAACAATATCCTAATACTTGTCAAACTGTAGTGCTAAAATGTCCTGCTTGAGAACTAAGCATTGATTCCGAACAACATATAAATGAATTTTTGATGCGCTGTACGATAATCAGCAATGCATGCGGCAATTCCAAAAGGATGCAACTGTCATAGGTGTAATAGAGACTAACAGAATTAAGCCGATATTTAATTTTGTGCAACAGGCCTACTGTAGCAAGCTAGAGGCACTGCAGCCTAAACTTGCTACAGCACTTACTATTTAAAGGCAGTAATGAGATTTTAAAACTTAAAAGTCAGCGAATCAGTCTATTGGGCATCTCCTGCATGACTGCTAAAGTTGCACCTAAGAGGCATGGAATTTAGGGAAGGGCCGTAGTTTCATTTATGCAAAAACAGCAATTCGTATTTCGCTTATCGAAGTACATACACGACATATTGGAGTACCTCACCAAAAGCTGATACATGTTACCAACAACCAAACCAACAATTTCTCGAATTCCATCCTAATATTTATTGGTTGGAGATCAAAATACAGAGGCGCTAACCACCTTTCACAAGAATAAAATACATTTGCTCGCTGAATAGGCCGACGGTTTGCGACAATGTTTGGCATTTAGGATAAGTTAGGCCATCGCAAACTGTACATTTAATCACACTTCACTAAATCCGCAACTTTCTTGAGCAAGTATTTTTAAAGCGAACATTTTTGCA